TTTAACTGTAAATTTAAGTTAAAACCGTAAAACCTAAAACGTTGCTACCGTATTTTTTACGGTAAAATTCCGGCAACCACAGCTGCCGGTTTTTTACCGTAAATTTTACGGAATTTTTTTTACAGTGCATGACATATGACAACATTTATAGGATGCATTGAGGAGGAGCCCAAACTACACTCAGTCGCCAAGTGATGCTGACATACTTATGGTCCATGATATTGGCACAGATTTTGTGTAATAAACAATTCTTTGTGACTCTTCAGTTCTCAAGTTAAAAAGACTTTTATTTCCCACTTTAAGTGAACCTTAGTTCTCAGGACATTTATAAGATAAGATTAAAATGCTAAATTTGTAAAAGGAGGGGAGACATAAACACAATACAGTATGACTGAAATGTTAAAGTGCAAAAAAAAAAAAGCATGTTTATTCTGTTGTTCCTTCATTTATTTTTTTATTTTATTTTATTTTTGTGTGTGTGGCTGGAGAACTGGTTTGATCTGTTATCCAAAACTGTGAGAAGAGTTTTGTCTGATACCCGAAATCAATGAACAAAAGTATATTTTATCTGATACCCAAAACTTTATTAAAAAATAGTCTTTTATCAGCCTGAGAGGTTGGCAAAGGAAGCTGTGAATTAGCAGGAAATATTATATGAAATGTTAAAAGTGCAAAAAAAAAAAAGCATGTTTATTCTGTTGTTCCTTCATTTATTTTTTTATTTTATTTTATTTTTGTGTGTGTGGCTGGAGAACTGGTTTGATCTGTTATCCAAAACTGTGAGAAGAGTTTTGTCTGATACCCGAAATCAATGAACAAAAGTATATTTTATCTGATACCCAAAACTTTATTAAAAAATAGTCTTTTATCAGCCTGAGAGGTTGGCAAAGGAAGCTGTGAATTAGCAGGAAATATTATATCTAATGTATTTGCCTGTTCTTCCGATATTGTTGGTAATTTAATTTCTTTCTTACTTTCTTGCTTAATTCAAACCAATCAGAAAAAAACAAAAAAAAACATTATTTATAGTTTGCTCCAACACTTCATTTTATAGAAAGACGAGAGAGTTTGTAAGTAATAAACCTGTAAGAATGGTTAGCATCAACTTGAAAGGGCAAATTAAAAAAAAAAAAAGAAAGGAAGAGAAGTGAAATGGAGAAACACTGCAAAATCCAGCTTGTAAGCTCAGCAGTTGTGCGACTGGTTTGCTGGAGCTACACGCATCTGACCAGATTACGCAGATTACTCGGATTACTCATATTACTCCACAACAGCAGACAACCAAAGAGGGTCCACATGTATCTCAGCTGTACCTGCCTCGGCATGCTCTTCTTTTATAAATATATACGAGTAGTGAAGTGTGACAGTCATCAGCGAGAGAACAGTTGATGAGCGTCACTTTAAAACATGTCATACATTTAAATGGAAAAAATAAACAACATGAAAAAAACCTCTTGATTAGCTTGTGGAATCACATCACATTTCGGATCAATTCAGTGTTTGTTACTGTAGCTGTGTACTCAGTTCACTCTTATGCTTTCACATTTCAGAGCGAGAAACGATCATTTCTTGCAAAGCTTTTCAAGGTGAAGATCAGTAAGACGCCGGCACAGGAAGAGCGTGTGAGCAAGCAAGAACTGGATGAAGAGTCACTGTGCTCCGCTACAGTCATTGAGCCTGTACAATCAGCCACACCATCCAGTCCTGCTCCAGAGTACAAACCCAGTATGTATCCTGTACTCTCCTCACAGACACATCTCTCTCTGTGAGTGCGTTTACATGCATGGTAATGTCAACTGTTTCGTTAACTGAGAAAATATATTGCAGTCCTTGACTCTTTCTTGACCCAAGAAATGATAAAGATGTGTTATCTTGTGCAGTCGAAGGAGGTGCAGTCTGCAAGCATAACGAGTCTGTGCTTGTTTCCTGCTGACGTTTGGAATAATATGTGTGTGGGTTTTAAGTAGGGCTGCCCCCTAATAGTCGATGAGAAGAGGCTTGGTCGACCAAAATTTTAGTAGTTGCTTAGTCGCAGAAAAATAAAATGCAGAGCAAGTGGTGAAGTCACGCAGTCCGTGATAGACAGATCATTAACACTAGAACCGCCAGGAGTCGCTGTATACCTAAAAGCACCAGCGGGTAAATTTTACCCACGCACATGACAGCTGTTTTTGAATGGCTAAAGAACATATTATTTCACTGTATTATGCTACTGTCTTCACAAAGAAGTGTCTAGAGTCATGAAATGATTATGTCTAGTCATCAACTATATTTTTGTCCAGTTGTTTTATGTTCAAGGCTTTTTTTATGCAGGCTACACTAGTCACTTTTCATAACGGTCAATATTAAGCTAAACAAGCCTGCACTGACAACGAGAATTAGAAGGAAGTAAATACATATTTGGGTGGTGTAATAGGCTATTATAATACAATGTCATTAATCAATATATTAAGATAACCGATGTTATTTAAATGACTAAAATAGCCTATAGACAATAATGAGCAATAATAATTCACCACACTGCATAGGATGATGCGATGACAAATTCAAGAGCACAGCTTCACCTAATTAATTATTAATTTGTTTAGTTATATCATTTATAATTTGAATAAGAGAACAACACCATTAAACTTTGGGTAATCAAAAATGGTTTTATTTATTACATCATATAGATCAGATTTTTTTTTTCTTCAGGAAACGGCCAGACTAGAATAGCAACACAGTAGCGAACAATAAATGATATGGCAAGACAAAAATTAAATAATTAAACCAAAGTTTGACCAGTTAGAGTAACGTGAGGCTCAAACATGTAAATCTG